TTTTTTCATTGCTGTTGGTGTAACGCTTAGACGCTCAACAAATATTTGTTGAATGAGTAAGTGAATGCCAGGGTTGAACTGTGCACTGAGAAGATTTATGAAGTAAGTCGCTCCTGCCAGAATCGCACAATCTGATAGGCTAGAACAGAATATGACACTTCTCAAGGCTTTTGGAAGGGGATGGTGGAAGATCGGGAAAATGTGTAACCCTAGATGGTGAGCACTTGGGCTCTGGAGGTATTCAAAATTCGGAGCAGCCATCGGACGAAAAAGCCTCTTCTGGCCGACCGGCTGCGGCTCGTCCAAAATCGCACCAAGTGGCCAAGTCCAGGTCCAAGCTGCGTGCTCCGAATGTTTTAAGAGCTGGAGTCTGCCCCTCAAGGCAGGCGTTTTGGACCAGGATGCCAATACTTTTAAAAGCCGAGTTCAGATAAAGATTCTGGGAGACCGAGGGGCCACGCGCAAGTCCCAGAGTCGGAGACGCAGCGAGTATCGCGTCCCAGCAACTCGGCAGTCAAGCTTCCTGGTAAACCTAACTTCCGGGTCCCTTTTCAGGCCTCCAATCCCACTGGTTAGCAAGCTCCGCCTTCTTCTGGCCCCAGCAGATTCCGTGCTCTGATTGGCCGTACCTGAAGCCCCGCCCTAACGACGCAACCCTAGGTAACTCCGAGCTCCAACTCCGGCTCCAGCCTCAGGAATCTCGGCTTCCTATTGGACTACCAGTTTCCAATCGGAAGGGTTTTTGAACCTGAGTCTTCGGGTGGCGCTGGCCATTGGGGGACAGAATGGGGGCGAGGCCTGAGGTCGCCGCCTGCACCGCCTAGGGATAAGCAAGGAACTAGAAGCGAACCCCACAACAGAGCAAGCCTCCCGTCGAGTCTGGCTTCTGTCCCCGCCTCCGCAGGTCAGCCAGCGCGAGACCCCGCGCCCCCTCCCAGCGGCCGCCCAAGTGCGCCTGCGCAGCAACAGCCGTCCGCCCGAGTGCCCCTTCCCTTCTTCCTCCGCACCCTTTCCCTTCCCCTCCTCCGCCCCCTTTCCCTGCCTTGCCACCCGATCCCGACCCCTAAGGCCCTTTCGTGGGGTCTCCCCTGCCCCGATCCTTCCCACACCCCGTCCCCCATTCCCCAGGATCCTGGCTCCCCAGCAGCAAGGGCTGCGCCTCCGCCAGCCGCGATGTGCGTCTTCTCAGAGCCTGTGGACCTCCCTGCCCTCACTGCCCTCGGTTTCCTCCACACAGGCCCCCAGCTCCTTCAGAATGACGCTAGACGTCGGGCCAGAGGATGAGCTACCCGACTGGGCTGCGGCCAAGGAGTTTTACCAAAAGTACGACCCTAAGGACGTCATTGGCAGGTGAGGCCATGGACAGAGGAAAGGAGGTAGAGAGATGTCAAGTTCGAGCCAGGATACACAATTCCCTCAGAGGGCTGGAGAGTTCTAAATGGGAAGGTCAGTGCTGAGTGGAGGAACATTTGGTGACTAGACTCATTCTGGGTCAACCTCCATTTTTTCACAAATTCATTCATTTGTGTGTTCAACATAGTTGAAGCATCTACTGTATGCCAGACACAAAGGTAAACACGGAGAGAGTAGAAGAGATGTTTATGCCCTGGAGGTACTCCAAGTGAAGTGACTGAAAGAGACACATAAACATTCAAAACATTCAGGTGGTGTAAAAAGTGCTGTGGAGTCTCAGAAAACCACAGCTTCCCAGAAGGGATGATATTTGGGTCTTGAAGGATAAGTAGAAGTTAAGCATGCAGCAAACAGAAGGAGGGCCTCACCTGCAGAGGCAGTGGCAGATACACTTGTTCATCAAGGTTTCCTAAGCACGTGCAATGCGGTAGGTGCACTGTGCTAGGCACCGGAGATGTAAGACCCCTTGTAAGACCTTACAAAGGGGCTTCTTCTCCCAGAGTTTATATTCTAGTGGTAGAAAGAGACAGTAAATATGAAAACAACTTTAAGTTCAGTGTAAGTGCTAGAGAGAAAATAAATAGGGTCATGGAACAAGAGTAATTAATAGAGCTGTGATTTGAAGGATGAGAATGAACAGGTTATGAGCCGAGGCAAGATAAATTCTGGGCAGAAGGAACAGCAAGTGCAAAGGCTCAAAACAGGAAGGGGCCTATTCAAGCAACAGATAGATCTTAGTGGCTAAAATGTGGTAAGAGTGGGAAAAGGTGGAGAAACTTAACTTGGAGAGGTAACTAGAGGTTGGATTACGTAGAGACTTGGGCTATGATAAGGAATTTAAATTTTATTCTAGTGTCACTGGTGGTTTCAAACAGATTAGTAACAAGATCTGATTTACATTTCTGTAATTTGGGGCTTAGGAACTTAACCTTTCTGTGCCTCAGTTTCTCCATTGTAAATGGGGAATAAAAATAGATCCTGCCTTGTAGGTTGCTGTGAGGATGGAAGGAGTTAATGTGATACTCTTAGAACACTTCCTGGCACATAGTAAGTGCTCAGTACAGATGTGTTATTACGTTTTAAAAAGATCATTCTGGCTCTTATGTAGAGAATGGATAGGAGAAGGGCAAAAATGGAAGCAGAGACCAGCTAGGAAGCTCTTGATTCATTCAGGCTAGAGATGGTGATGGTTTAGACTAGGGTGATAGTAGTAGAGTTGGAGAGGAGTAGAAAGACTTAGGTGATGGTTTGAAGGGAGACCTGATGCAGTTTCCTGAAGGATTGGATATGGACCACGAGGGAAAGGAAAACAAGAATAACTTATGAGGTTTGGATGTGAGAGCTTGACTACCATTTACTGAAATGAAGACAACTGAAGAGGATCGGATCGGACTTGGGGAGGGGTGATCAAGTCGAGAGTTCCATTTTGGAAATGTTAAATTTGAAATAATCCAACTGGAGTTGTCAAGTGGCACATGTGTCTGGAACTCAAGGGAGAGAGCTGGGCTCGAGCTATAAATTTGGGAGGCATCAGCATACAGACAGTAGCTGGCCAGAGAAATGTCGAGAAGTGAAGAAGCCTAGGCGCAGCCCATGGAGGATGTCACCATTAAGGATTAGGAAAGGACAAGCCAGCAAGGGAGACTAAAGAGATGCCATCTGTGAGTTAGAAGGAAAACACAAGAAAAATATGCTTCTAGAAGGTTGGCAGGGTCTGCTGTGACACATGCTGCTAAGACCAGGATTTCTGGTGGAGGTGTGACTATGAGATTTGTTCAGAATCCTTTTAGATATCACATGGAGAGGTCAAACAGGCTGCTGGACTACTCAGTCATTGAAAAGTAATAAAATAATGCCATTTGCAGCAACATGGGTGAACCTGGAGATTGCATCTAAGTGAAGTAAGCCAGAAAGAGAAAAAAATTACCATATGATATCACTTATATGTGGAATCTGAAAAAAAGGCAAATGGGCTTATTTATAAAACAAACAGACTCACAGACATGAAAAACAAACTTGTGGTTACCAGCAGAGTAAGGGAGTTGGAAGGGATAAATTGAGAGTTCTAGATTTGCAGATACTAACTAATATATATATAGATATAGATATAATAGATAAACAGCAAGTTCATATTGTATAGCACAGGGAACTATATTCAATATCTTGTAGTAACCTCTAATGAAAAATAATATGAAAATGAATATATGTATGTGTATGTATGAATGAACTATTATGCTGTACACCAGAAATTGATACAACATTGTAAACTGACTTTAGTTCAATTTAAAAAAAAAGAGGCCTTTGGAGTCAGGAATTCTGGAGGAAAATCAAGGCTTGAGACAGTATAGCAGGAGTCATTTTCACATAGTTGTTATTTAAAGCCCCTGGGACTGGATGGAGGTCACAGAGGGAAGAGAGTACTTGGAAAAGAAGAGTCCTGAGACGCTGCAAGGTTTCGGGACCAGGTGCGGGTGGATGCACTGAAGCTAGGAAGAGCCCTTAGGGGAAAACAGTAGTTCCACTGCCAAGGGCACAGAAGGACCTGTTTAAAGAAGGCAGATCAGAGGGTAGGGGCCTTTTCATCTCATTCTAAGATTACTATGGTAACATTACCCCTTGTCTCTCTCTTCTATCTTTTCCCTCTTCCTTTTCCTGCACAATAAATTACCTGTACACGTGAACTAAATTACTTTTTCCACAGTACCAGTTTCTTCATATATAGAGGCCTGAAGCTTCAAAGGAGCTTGGCTTATTCTGGACATTGGTGATAAGTTATAAGTCACTGAAACAAACATTGAATAGCATGGTTATAGCCGGAGATAAGGTGAAAAGAGACTGAGAAGTTGATGAAGGCCTTGAATGACAGATGAAGGAATTGGGATTTGATTTTTATTTTGTGGGTAATAGGGAAGCAATATGGAAAGAAAACAAGAATTTTGAGTGCATTCCTGAGGTAGCTATAAAGTTGAAAGTATTAGGGATCATTTAGAAAGAGGACAGTTGCTCTAGGGGTACTGCTGAGGAATGAGGGGCACTTAGAACTTAGTGGAGAATTTAAACCTGGAAGTTTTTAAGCAGCAAATGACATTGGGGCTGTTTTAAGAAGCTGATCCTTGAAGCAGTGTGGTAGATGGGTTGCAGTGGTTGCGATTAGCATCAGGGAAATAAGTTAGGAGGCTGTCATGGTTGTGGGGGTGGAGTCCTAGGAGACAGATTTGAAAGATGCAAAGAATGGACTGGACTGGTTGGGTGTGGTAGGTTGTGAAGGAGAGGGAGAAGCCAAGAATGGTACCAGGGTTTCTAGTTCGGGAGTCTGATTGAATGGCATTGCTGTTAATTGAGATAAAAAAACTTAGGAACTAGTGTGGGGGATGATGAAGTGTTCGGTGGTCACGATGAAAGTGAGATGTCTCTAGGACTCTCAGAAAGTGATTCATTCAGTAAGACATGTTGGCCCGACACTTGAGAGAGAGATCTGGGCATGAATGTTGAAGTTTTAGAGGTGGATAAGATTACTGAAGGAGAGTGTATATAGCCTGAGAACAGGGCCAGGGGTGGGATCCTGGGGAAGTCTTAACATTTAAGGAGTGTGCGGAGAATAAAGTAGGAGGCTGTTATCAGTAGGAAGAATTTGGACTTTGAACCGGAAGACCTGGGTTCCCCATGTAGATAGTCATGATACAGGGTAGGAAGGCTTAATTAAGAGGGAGTGCTCCTTGCGGGGAGGGTACAGCTCAGTGGTAGAGCGTGCGCTTAGCATGCACAAGGTCTTGGGTTCAAGCCCCAGTACTTCCATTAAAAAAAAACCTAAATGAATAAATAAACCTAATTACCTTCCCCTCACCCCCACCCCCGCAAAAAACCCAAGAGGGAGTGCTCTTACAGGTAGAGTGCTATAGGATACCAGAGAAGCGAGTGGTCCCTTCCTCCTGGAGAATAAATACAATTGTAGAGGTAGCATATACTCTGGGGCTTAAAGCAGGGATTCTTGGCTGGTTGGCTTCAGAGGGTCTTTGAGCCCCCTGAAATTGTAAAACTGTTGTGTGTATGTGGCAGAGTTCTCCAGCTTTCAACAGATTCTCAGATGAGTAATTAATTAAAAGATGAGTAATAATTAGACCTTGGGCCTCAGACTGAGATGCCCTTAGTAGTTGGGCAGGAAATTAAAACTGTGAAATGGCCAAGAGTAAGACAGGTAGTGAGTGTTGTGGCAACTGGAAGTGTTCTTGTCCCAGCTAAGATATATGAATTCAGATTTGTAAAGAAGAATGCGCTGACTGAAACAGAACACATCTCTGGGCTGTGTTTAGCTGGAGAGTCAATAGTTTGCATCCATTGATGGACCCAGAGACATGGGTGACAGGCATTCCCAGCAAAGGAGTTACATAGAGGCACGGAGGCCATGGGAGCACAGCACTGACGTTATGTGAAGGGCTGCCAGGGAACCAGCATGCAGAATGTGGTGTGAGGTCAGATCCCGGAGAGATTTGCACCTTAACCTGAGGGACTTGTAGGGTCATATGGAGTTGGTGACAGAGCCCAAGCAAGGAAATCCCTACCTAGGACTTGGTCTTTACAACACCAAGTGGGCTTTCCTGTCTCTACCTTATTAACGCCTTTCAACATCCCTTCAAGATTTTATTGGCCACATTTCAGAGCTGATGAGGTAGAAGCCCAGAGACCTTATGTCAGTGGGTCACTTGTAGGTTAATTACTGGCAAATTTGGGGCCTAAACCAAGATCTACCACTCAACTTTGGTCTTCTGGTCAATGGCCCAATATTTGAGGTATAATACCTTCACTTGAGGTATTATAGGGGAACTTTGGGATTTGGATGGGGTAATCAAGGAAGTGTGAGTAAAATCTGGAGAGAGCCTTAGGTCATTTCTTCCTACTTTCTCCTTGTGGGGTCCCAGGGCAAGAGGCAGGTTCTGGGGCTCAGTGGAGCCATGAGGCTTCCTCCATGGGGAGGCTTACCCGTGGAGGGAATGGCAGAGGCTGGATTCGAACCCAGGACCCCTGCCTGCCTGCCCTGTGAGTTTTGTGTTGAACTTGCTAGGTGCCCAGGTTGCTTGCTGAGGCCACTCTGAAGCTCACGTAGGCTGGGGTGAGCTGCGTGGGGGGTCGCCTTGTTGTCCAGCTGGGTCTTCAGAGTATGGCACGGTGAATCTGAGGCTGCTGAAGTTCCACTCTGCGTGGAGATGTGAGAGCAGGAGGCCCTGACTCGTGCATTGTTTGACTCTGGCAGAGGAGTGAGCTCTGTGGTCCGCCGTTGCGTTCATCGAGCTACTGGCCAAGAGTTTGCAGTGAAGATCATGGAGGTGACAGCTGAGCGGCTGAGTCCTGAGCAGCTGGAGGAGGTGCGAGAAGCCACGCGGCGAGAGACACACATCCTTCGCCAGGTCGCCGGCCACCCCCACATCAGTGAGGCTGCATTCCCCAACTCCTGTTAGACAACACCCACCTCCTGCTGGCCCTGCCCACAGCCCACTTCCCCAGCGCTGCCTCCACACCTCTGCTCCCTTCCTCCTGGCTCCGCTGCACCTCAAAGCAGCCTTTGGACGCCTATGGCCTCCTTTGGTTCTCCTTCCTTCCCAGTAACAACCCACTGCTGCCTCAGGGTGGAAAAGGCCCTTCAATATGCATCTGCTCCTTTCCATCTCTGTCTCTCTGCCTTTCTACCTCTTTCCCCAGTCACTCTCATCGATTCCTACGAGTCTTCCAGCTTCATGTTCCTGGTGTTTGACCTGTGAGTATCTCCCTGCCCCAATCAAGAAGCTATCTCCTCACCTCCATGCATGGCCCCAGCCTTACAGCACAGTGGGCTGAAGACCCTCTGCTCCAGCTCAGGCCGGCCTGCCAGCCCGTGGCTCTGGCCCCTCTCTCTAGGCGCCCTGATTAAGGCAAGTTCTTCAAGAGTCCTAGTGACCAGCTAAATACAAAGGGTCTTCATGAGACCCTGTTTTAAGAGGAGAGTGTTCATCCATGAGCTGACCACGTATCAACAGACTCTCACTCACCAGCCTCCCGTTGTTTACCAGACTCCACTGGAGTCTGTCTCTGCCCATCAGCTCTTTTTCTGTAATGCAGACCAGTTGCAAGGGTACTTCAAAAGACAATGGTTTGGATACCAAATGTTTAAGAGAGGCCAGTAGGAGAAATGTACAGTCTTTATACAGAAATGACCCTCTGTGAAAGGCAGAAGGGAGGGAGGAAGTGTCTGTTACACATCACACAATTTGGCAGAACCTGATGTGTTCTTTATTTCAAGGATTGACAGAGTTGCAATTATAACCTCAGTTTCCAAAGACAAGATAAAATAAGCAAAATTCAAAATAAAGCCATATTCAACTTCCTTGCTACTGTTAACTGTGAAATTTTGGTCCGTGGTCTAAGTAGATTCACTTCAAAACACCTTTTTTGAGGGTAGTAATTCTCAGATAAGGACTTCCTGTAAATGTTTATCACAAGGCACTTATTCTTGCTAAAATAGCCCCCTCTTTGCACAAGGCAGGTATTTCAACCTACAACCCATTGGGCCAAACTGCCCCTGACATCTAGTCCACTCTTGGAGTGCACTGTCTTGAGACCCTTTCGTTTGTCTACAGAGGGCTCTCTCTTTACTGGTCTGCTCCGTGGTATTTTCTGTGAACTCTGGCTTGTTTTCTCAGCTGCCACTGTGAGGCGTACCCATCTCCCTTCTGTCCCTTAGGATGCGGAAGGGAGAGCTGTTTGACTACCTCACAGAGAAGGTGGCCCTCTCAGAGAAGGAAACCAGGTAATGGCTGAGCCTGCAGCCCTGGGGGGTGAGCAGGGAGTGGGGTGGGGCAGGGAGAGGCAGAGGAGACTGTGCCTCCCCCAGGTCCATCATGAGGTCTCTGCTGGAAGCAGTGAGCTTTCTCCACGCCAACCACATTGTGCACCGAGACCTGAAGCCCGAGAATATTCTCCTAGATGACAATATGCAGATCCGAGTTTCAGATTTTGGGTTCTCCTGCCACTTGGAACCTGGCGAGAAGCTTCGAGGTGAGGGGACCCAGTGCCCTAAGAGGCTTGGGAGGGAAGGAAACCCATCCTTGGGGCTGGTTGGCTGGGTCTGAGAACCGAATTCTAAGTACCAAGGAAAGGAGAGTCAGTGAGCACTTGACAGGTAACCCTCCGGGTGCAAAACCTTGTGTGCAAATCAGAGTGGGCTACCTGACCTGGGGAGGATGGAGACAGACAAGTGAGCAGATGGTGGCACACAGCAGGCAAGGGGCTGTGCCGGGAAAGCCAAGAAGGAACACTGTAGGGACCTACAGAAAGGGGGCTCAGGACCTAGGCCTTGGGAGGCTGGGCCTGTCAGAGAACAGAAAAGAGGGTCCAGAGGATAGCAGGGCTTAGCTGCCCCTTTGGGGTCTGGTGGAGACAGGACCAGTGTGCTGCCTAGGTGCTATGGGGAGCCTGATGTGGCCAGATAGCGCTGCTTACCTGGTACCCTGGGTCTCGGGTTCACCCAGTGTTAACATATTTGTTGTGACAGACATTTCTAGTGCCAGAGAAAAACTAAACAAAGTTCAGCTGTGGGACTCCTCAAAGCCTGTAATATGCTTTCTCTCCTTCAATGGCTCCGTACTGGACTTAGTAATAGCTAACATTTACTGGGCCCTACTGTGCAGTAGGCACCGTCCCGAGTCTCTACACAGCGTGTTTCTCAATAGCTCTTTGAAGTAGATAGTATTTGTGTCTCTGTTTTATAAATGAGCTTAATGAGGTGAGGTGACTTGCCCAGGGTCATGCAGCTGGGATTTGAACTTGGGCAGTCTGACTCCAGAGCTCATGCTCTTCATCTCTGGACTTTCACATCTTACAGATCCTGTGCTTTATTTCCCTTTTGGCTTCCACAGACACTGCCCCATTCTACACCATCTTTGCCCCTGCCCACTCCACCCTCTCCCTTGACTTTGGTAATTCACGTTTTACTTTAAAGCTCCAGGTCAGGTTAGACCCTGCTTTTTGCTCTTATTTCTCCTCTCTTTGTGACACACGTCTTACTCTGTTACTTGTTTGCTTTTTCTGGTGGATGGTGACTTGGTAAGGGCACATTAGATTTACCACTGTGTCTAGTATGGTGCTTGGCACATGGTAGGCATTCAGTAAATATTTGGTGTAGGAATGAATTTCCCAAGAAAGTTATTTTCAATTCATGCCTATTAAGATCTGGAAGTGTGCCATGGATCACAGTTTAGAAGTTGCTGGGATGGAAGAATTGGTGCCTGAAGAGATAAAAGAAACTAAATATATAGATTTAGATCAAGTCATGAAGGGCTCTGTGTTCCAGGAGTCTAGATTTGATCCTGAGGCCATGATGGGAAGCCAGGGAGGGGTTTTAAACAAAGGACTTGCTAAAATAGCTCCTTTCCTACTCATTCCCCTTGGTTGAATGGTGGTTCCACTAACCACAGTAGAGATGATAGGAGGAGGAATAGATTCGGGCAGAAAGGAATGCTGAAAAGATTTAAGGTTTGTTTTCCATGTATGTGTGTAAAAATGTGGTAATAAGTTGCATGAGGAGTAGGTTGGGCTTGGCTAGAGGGTTGGAGGAACCAAATGATACAGTTGGATAGGACCTTGTAGTCAATCCAAAAATCAGGTTTTCCCAGGAAGGCCACCAGCCTTGGTGGGTACTTGAATTGTTCAGCAGGGCTAGGATCTAATACTGAGACTTGGCAGAGGGCAGGCAGGAGCAGAATGGGAACACTTGTGGCCCTGGTGGTGTTGAGGCTCCAGCAGAGGTCTGGTGTTAAGGGCCCATCAAGGGGACTGGTGACATCCCATCAATCTCAGCCCTCTCTCCCCAGAGTTGTGTGGGACCCCAGGGTATCTGGCACCAGAGATCCTTAAGTGCTCCATGGATGAAACCCACCCAGGCTACGGCAAGGAGGTCGATCTGTGAGTTTCCGGTCCCCCCGTCCCCTTTGTGTAATGTCCTTCAACACATTTGCCCATCACCTAGTCCTTCTGACCCTGATCTCTTTCCCAGCTGGGCCTGTGGGGTGATCTTGTTCACACTCCTGGCTGGCTCACCACCATTTTGGCACCGACGCCAGATCCTGATGTTACGCATGATCACGGAGGGCCAGTACCAGTTCAGTTCACCCGAGTGGGATGACCGTTCCGACACTGTGAAGGACCTGGTGAGCTGGGGCTGTGAGAGGGCTAGGAGGGAGGCCCCAGAGCTGCCCTTCATGCTCTGGGGTTTCCCCTAGATCTCAAGGCTGCTGCAGGTAGATCCTGAGAAGCGCCTGACCGCGGAGCAAGCCCTCCAGCACCCATTCTTTGAGCGCTGTCAAGGCAGCCAACCGTGGAACCTCAGCCCCCGCCAGCGGTTCCGGGTAAGCCTGAGAGTGTCAGGGTCTGGACCTGCTCCTCTGTCCCACGATTCTTCGTGGTGGGTGCTGCAGCCGCGCTCACACGATTCCCCTTCCCAGGTGGCAGTGTGGACAGTGCTGGCTGCTGGACGAGTGGCCTTAAGCATGCACCGAGTACGGCCGCTGACCAAGAGTGCACTGTTGAGGGACCCTTATGCACTGCGGCCAGTGCGCCGCCTCATCGACAGCTGTGCCTTCCGGCTCTACGGACACTGGGTGAAGAAGGGCGAGCAGCAGAACCGGGCGGCCCTCTTCCAGCACCGGCCCCCTGGGCCTTTGCCCATGATGGGCCCTGAAGAGGAGGGGGACTCAGCTACTATCGCTGAGGACGAGACCGTGCTGGTGCTGGGCTAGCACTTCAGCCCTGAGGAATCCCAAGAAGCAGAACCCTCCAGGAGGAGGATTTTTATCATTCCAGCCGCTCTGGGCTCTGACCTTGGGCCTCCATGCCTGGCCAGGCCCAGCATGGATCACAGTATCATAGAGACCAGCCCTGTACACCGTCCCCGGCTGGCCAGGGCTTTGAGATCAGAGCTGAGGTGGGAGAGAGCCACCCAGAGTGCCACACCTGGCCTTGTCAGTGCTGCCTGTGCCACGTCCGCAATAAAATCTGCTGCACACCAGGGAAGGCCAGTGCCCTGTATCTGGTGTCTGCCTTCAGCAGGGAAGCCCAGAAGGTGCTCTGGAGTTGGGGGGTAGGGGGTGCTGCTCTGGCCCAGGCCTTTATTGGGGAAAACGCTGGGGGTCACTTGGTCTTGTTCTTGCCTTTGCCTGGAGGGAGCTGGAGGGGCCGCTCGAGTGCGGTCAGCTTGCTGCTGAGCTTTTCCTCACTGGCCCTGAGCTTCTCCTCTATCAGTTGTTGGAGCTGCTCCAGCTCCTTGTTCATCTGGGTCTTGATGTAGGCTCGGAGGACGGAGACCTGGCCTGCAGGGGCAGGGAAGAGGGGGCGGGTCAGGAGAGATGCTGTCTGGGGCTGAGGGATTGCCCCCAGTGGGGCAAACACAACCACCAGGGTGCCCCCGGGGGCCACACGGGTGGCCGTATTGCTTCAGGAAATGTCAGCCAGCCCTTGTGTGGGAGAGAGATGGACAGAGTGACTAGGCTGGACTCTGGGTTGCTACTTAGTAGGTGGGTGACCTTAGGCAGGTGATTTCACCTTCCCAGGCCTCAGCTTCCTCCTATAAAAGATGTGGATAGTGATAGCACCTAGCAGCGAGGATTGAGAGGATTAAATGGGTTAAGAGATTTTAAATGCTTAACACAGGGCCTGCCTGGCACACAGTATTGCCAAACGTGCTGGCTAGTCATTGATTTTATAATCCTTTTCTGGAGCTCCTGTCTCACCCCCAGCAGTTGGGCTTTTATCCGTTTCCATCTTGGACTTCTGCATCAGAAATCATTTGGAGAAAGGACACCATGACCAAAACAAAAGGTCTGCAGCCCTGATGTGATCTAAACCCTTCATTTTAAACCTGCCCAAAGTCACAGGGGACCCTAACCCCTCCAGGTCCTCACTTGGCTCTTGTTCTGGCTGGACCACCGTTTCAGGTTCCTCCTTCTGTGGGGTGACTGCCTGCTTCTCCACCTCTTCACCCTCTTCTTTCTCTGCAAGCCACAAGCAAGAAGATGGCTTCAGCCCTGGCCCCAGTCCCAGTGTAGTCCAGCCCTAGCCCCACCATTCTTCCTAACCTGTCTCTTCCTCTGGCCAGAGCTTGGGTGGCTGTAGCCCCGTGTAGGTCAAAGATATGTCCAGCCGCACCTGGGGAGAGGGAGGAAGAGGGCATCTGAGAGGACATCTGCACTGAGGGGAAGGGGGAGATGAGGGGTGGCTTCTTGCAGCCCATGGCCCAGTACCTGCGGTGTGAAGACATATTTGTAGAGCTTGAAGTGGCGGAAGTAGGTGTTGACCACATAATCCGCCAGGGCCAGCAGCTGTTCCTCCTTAAAAAGGTTGATACTGAAGGGGGGTCGCTGTGGGGATGACTGGGAATTAGAGGACTGACCACCACCTGAAGCCCTCACTTTTCCTCCAAGTGCCCAGCAATCCAGGAGCGGGAAGAGCCCACTGTGGCCTTCAGAGGAGATGAGGGTGATGAGTGTGAGAGAGGGCGGGAGACTGGGCTAGACCTTATCTGGGGAAGAGTGAAGATCCTATTCCAGGGGAACTGACCCTGACTCCATGGCAAAAAAGAACACTGGTGAAGTAGCGGTAACATTCCTCCATGTTGCCCAAGGGGGTTGCTGGGAGGGAAAGCAAGATGTGACAGTGAGTCCCCTGTCTGATAATCGTTCATTTTATTCACTCAACAGCTTCTTACTGAGCATGAGCTTTAGATGTAGACAGATGTAGGTAACAAATACAGAGTACCCATGAGGCAATGTTCTAGGCACTGAACAAGACAAGGTCCTGCCCTGAAGCTTATATTCTAGTGGAAGTGATATATAATAAACCAAGAAATACATAATTTTAGCTCTTGTTAAATATCCTGTAGGCAATCAGTTCCAGGAACAAAGCAGGAGCTATTTTATTGAGCACTGTGCATATATTTATATATATTACATATAATATTTCTCAGAACAGTTTGATGACAGCACTATATCCCCTTGTTATAGATAAGGAAATAGAGCATTTCAAAGGTGAAATAACTTGTGCATGATAGTATTGCTAGTAGTAACAGAACAAAGATTTCAAGTGGTAATCATACTTTTACTTCCCCTGGTCACTTGTGCCAGCCTCCTCCTCTCCCCTGGACTCAAACCCTCGGGTAGCCTCCTCCTCTTACCAATACAGGCCTTGTGAAGATCTTGGAGCAGGGCACAAGCTGTTGATGTCTGCTCCAGTGAGAAGCCCTGCTGGCGGCAGAAGATGAGTACATGGGAGAAGAGATCCAGTGTGATAGCATCCCGCAGGCTCTGCTCAGGACAGGTCAGCCCCAACAGCTCGGCCAGCACCCTTGGAAGAGAGAGAGGAAGGAATGAGTGACAACAGAAGCTTCCCTTCACCACCCCACACTAGTGCACAACTTGCTTTGGAGCCAGGCATTCCTCGTGCCTTCCCAGCCCACCCCTCTCAGCCTTCCCCAAGAGCTAGCTCTTTTTCCCCTCCCTGCGTCCCCCTCCCGCATACTCCCTCATCTCCTCAACGTTGGCTGTCTTCTCCAGCCTGTGCATGGAATGGATGTTCAGGTACTTCCTGTCATAGGAAAAGAGGGGAAAAAGGTGTTGGTGGCCGTTATGCATCAGTCTTATAACTGGGCTATGATGGCCAGAGCATAGGACTAGGAACCAAAAGACCTGACTTAGAGGTTTGGCCCTTCCACTAACTTGCTGTGTAGCCTTAGGCAAATCACTTCCCTCTCTGGGCCTCATTTTCTCCATCTGTAAATAAGGGGTACGGCCTCAATGATCCCTTATGCTCTTCTTCATTTATAAAGCCCGGGGTTAGGAAATGTGAGTTCTTGTCTCTGCCACTCCCTTGTTCTATGACCTTGGGCAAATTCCCCCCTGTTAGCCTCAGTGTCCCCACTTACACAACGCACCACAGAGGCTGTAATAATATATTTACATCCTCAATCTTTGGCTCCATCTTTCTCACACTCTTTCTTTGGACAGGGGCAGCAGGAGACCTGGCTTATGGTCATCTTGGGTAATTGCATCTCTGGGCCTCAGTCTCCTCATTTGTAAAATGGGGATGCCCTCACTGTTTGATAGGATTGCTGGGGAAGCACTAAAAGAAAATACAAGTGTGGAGGTTAACTTCCCGCCAAAGCTCTTTACACTCACCATATGCAGATCCGGGGCTGGGGCAGCGGCGGCTGCAGAGAGAAATAGGATTTGGCAAGGCACAGCTGTGTTGTTCCTGGTCCCTAACTCTTGGCCCGTCGCGAATCTCTGACGGGCCTAAGAATGCACTAACTTGCCATCTCATCTTAAAGACTACGTACAAGCAATGTCGGCAGGCTAGGCTTCAGCGGTCCCTAAGTACTATTAATGAACATACTAACAAGCGAGGTAACACACCCCTGCATCTTCACCAAGGCAGCCCAGGAAGCGTCTTGAACGTTAGTAAACATAACGACGGGTGGCGCCCTGCTGGGGAGCCCCGTCATAAACATTCACGAGCGGACCACTCTGTCGCGTCCTCACCGGGCACAAGTTTGCTGCAGGATCTTCATCTGCGTCCACCGAGGCCACGGTCCCCGACTCGGTCCGCACACTCGTTCGCATCCGCATGGCCAAGTCATCCAATGAGCAGAGGTCTTTCTCGGGTTCTCGCCGCAGTTCGGAGTGCTGTTCAATCTCCGACTGCATTTTCAGCCCCTGGAGTTGGATGGACTTCTGGCGGATCATCTTGTCGCTCCTCTGTGCCGCAGGTCACCGCAGGCTCGGTCCTGCCTCGGTTCTGGGACAGCCGCTTCTCGGACAGCGACTGCCAAGGCCTGGCCCTCTGTCGACGCTTCAGCCAATCTACGCTGCAGAGAGGTCGGGTGTAGCCAATCCGCTGGAGGCGTCTCCCTCCGTCTCAACGGTGACCGTTGCTAAGGGGGCTCTTGGAGGAGGGGAGAAAGCGTAAGGCGCTTGCCAATCAGTGAGAAGAGAATGCGCATGTGTAATAAAATGCGAGCCCCGCCCCTGTGGTTTCTTCGAATTTGCTAATCCGAGGCAGGCGCTGTCTTTAGGACTAGGGAGTGGAAGTGTGTTGTCGGTTACCATGGGAACTGTCCACTGGCCAATCACCGAGAGAAAGAGGAGTTGTTCAGAAAGAAACCAAACGGAACCCGAGAGGCGGGACAAAGGGCGACCAATAGAAACAGGAAATGGAGACGACTTCGCCACATCCGGCACTGTCTCTGGCGCCTGCGCTCTATGCTGAGAAGGCCAGTGACGTCCGGTGAAGTCCAAGATGGCGGCGTTAGGTTGAACCTGCTGCCGGTGAGGGGCCCGGGGTCGGCGGGGCGGGGTCCAGCAGGTCTGTGTAGGGGAAGCTCGGGGCCGAGGAACTCTGGCTGCTTCCACATCTCTGCTCTCTGTCTTCTGCAGGTGACGGAAGTGCCCCCTACTCCTGCCTGACGTCCCTCGGGAGACCCTGCGCCGCTCCTCGCCGCCGCGGCCATGTCTGGGCCCGGCAACAAACGCGCTGCCGGTGATGGGGGCTCCGGGCCCCCAGAGAAGAAGCTGAGCCGCGAGGAGAAGACCACAACCACACTCATAGAGCCCATTCGTCTTGGGGGCATCTCTTCCACGGTTCGTGGGCTCCTGACCCAGCCTTCACAACTTGCCAGAACTCACATCTCTGTTCTCTGTCCTCATCGTCCAGAGCCTTACTGCCAGTTCCCCAAATTTAGCAAGATCCCCCTTATAGAACACTTTTGAAGGAAACCGAAGGCACGATGTCTGCCTTCCCTTTGCAGATAAGAAAACAGGTCCCCAGAGAGTGTGTAACTTGTCTAAGGCTTCAGAATAAGAAAGAAGCAGAAACAGAATATGATCCTCCTTACAACCAAGATGGTTTCTCTGTGGGAGTGGGAGCCTCTTTAAATGCTGTTAGCAGTTAGCTGGGGATACTCCTCTCCTATCCATTCCATTTACTTTCCTCTGTCTCTGTGATTGGTTTCTTGGGCCCTGCTTGACCCTCTCCTCAGTCCCTCTGTTTCCTTGGTAGGAGGAGATGGACCTGAAGGTTCTGCAGTTCAAGAACAAAAAACTAGCAGAGCGGTTGGAACAGAGACAGGCTTGTGAGGATGAACTCCGAGAAAGAATTGAGAAGCTGGAGAAGCGGCAGGCCACAGATGATGCCACACTCCTCATTGTCAATCGCTACTGGGCCCAGGTGGATGCCCCTCTACTTTCCAAGACCTGGCCTTGATTCAGCTGCCTAGCCTCAGATGCCTCCGCTAGGAAAGTAGTATCATGCTGGAAAGCACCAGAGGAATTCATAATATTTTTGGTGCTTTTTCCCTTCAGCTGGATGAAACTGTGGAAGCCCTTCTCCGACACCATGAGAGCCAAGGGGAGCTGTCTTCAGGGACAGAGATGCCTGGGACCCAGGAGGGGCCGACACGTGATGAGACCCCTCTCACAGAGCCAGGGACATCGGAGCTGAGGGGTAGGGCCAGAGTCCTAGGATCTGGGAAGCTTAATTAAGTTCTGGGAAAATGGAAGCGCTGGGGAGGAGGGGACTTTGACATTAGGCTGCCCACCTGTGCGCGATTGTGCACGCACACATACACACACGCACACGCTCACACACACATACAAATTCATATTTGGGAAGCAAAGTGCAGTGGGTAAGAACACAGGCTTTAGAATCTGAGTGCAGTTCGTGTTTTGACACTCTTAGTTCACAATGTTAAATGTTGACTATGCACTTGCCACTGTTGTAGATTTGGAGGAGACAGATAATAAAAGAGAAATAATGCTCCTACTGTTAGGGAGGAAGTGATTACAAACTAATGAGAATAAACTATAGGGACTCCTGAATGGGAATTTGTGTGCAGTAGACTGAGCAGGATTAGTAAGGCAGAGAAGGCTTTCCTGAGGAGGTGAATTGGGAGCTCTCTGGCCTTGGGAAGCTTACTTTGCCTCCCTGAACCTCAGTTGCTTCATTTTTAAGATGGGGTAACACTGTAGGACAGACACTGGTTGTGTTGATTCAGTAAGCCATAGAGAGCTGAAGGGCTGGGTCTGGAACTTGGTGCAGAGTGGTGGTAACTGTGGCTGTTATCTTCATGAGGGTCTGTCCATCCCTCCCAGAGCCCCTGCCAATACAGCTGCGGCCCCCTCTCAGCGAACCAGCCTTGGCGTTTGTGGTGGCACTGGGCGCCAGCAGTAGTGAGGAGGTGGAGCTGCAGCTGCAGGGCCGAATGGAGTTCTCCAAGGCAGCTGTGTCCCGTGTCGTCGAGGCCTCAGATCGCCTACAGCGCCAGGTGGAGGAACTCTGTCAGCGAGTATACAGCCGAGGTTAGTGCTTTGTGCACCCACCCCAGAGGTGTCCGTCCCCATTGGCATCTTTATGGTACCTCCTCAGTCCCCCTGGCCCAAAGGCAGCCACAGTTCCCCAAGGAATAACTCAGCCATGTTCTCAGGGGAAGGGTTAGGTTGTAGATGGGAGCTCTCGCTTTGATTCCTGAAGCTGAAGTCTAGAGAGACAGATGGGAGGGGTTGTTGATGCTTGGGGTGCCTCCCCCATGTGGTTGGAGACCTCTTGGGAACACTTCGTGCAAATCTTGATGGATGTTGCTGATCCACAAGGCATAGCAGTAAGTGTCCTGGCTTTGTAGGCAGACATACTTCTCCTAGCCTTAGTGCTGTCAGTCCTTCCTGGGCATTCTGGGCAAATGGCTCTCCTCTCTGAGCTGTTTCCTCCTTTGTACAGTGGGGATAAAGACTCCTGGCTTTGTCATGAAAAAAAGACAGCTGGATCACACTGGGCACATAGCAGACTCCAGAATGAGTTAGTACTTTGCCCCATTGCCCTGGACTTGGCTCTTACCTGAGCCCTGCCTTCCCAGGGGACAGTGAGCCCCCCGGTGAGGCGGCTCGGGCACGCACCCGGGAGCTGGGCCGTGAAAACCGGCGGCTACAGGACTTGGCCACCCAGCTACAGGAGAAGCACCACCGCATCTCCCTGGAGGTGAGAGTTGGGCTTTTGCAGGGAAGGATTAGAAAGAACCAGGGCAGGGTTTGGATTAGGTGGGCACCCAAGGATCTCAGGGAGCCAAGTCCCTCGTCTAAGCATCTGTCTCCTTCATTGTCCCCAGTACTCTGAGCTACAGGATAAAGTGACATCTGCAGAGACCAAAGTGCTGGAGATGGAGACAACGGTAGAGGACCTGCAATGGGACATTGAGAAGTTGCGCAAGCGTGAGCAAAAGCTCAATAAGCACCTGGCAGAGGCCTTGGAGCAGGTGGGCTCAGATGTTGGGTCAGATGGAGCCAGAGCAGGGTATTTGGGGCCCTCGCTTCGCCCTTCCACACCCATGTGTCTGTCTCTTCTCTCCACAGCTCAACTCTGGCTATTATGTGTCTGGGAGCTCCTCTGGTTTCCAGGGGGGCCAGATAACACTCAGCATGCAGAAGGTGAGCAGTGGCTTTCTTCCCAGTCACTCCCACAACCTTTTCTCTAACCCATCATTGCAGTTCCCCTCAGAATTAAGGACAGACATCCAGCTGTGGTCTCTGAGGCCCTTCCCTGTCACTCACCCTGCTCTTTGTTTAATTCTTTCTTTGTATATCCAGCAAGTATTTGCTGAACACTTAGCACTGGATACTGTGCCAGGAAGCAGACATATTGGAGATAAGATAGTCAAAAGTCAAACTCTTCCTGAAGCTTAGGTTCTAGTTGGGGAACTGACAAGAACTAGATAAAATAGTACATCAGTTGGCTAGAAGTACCAAAAAACAAAAAACCCAAAAAGTTCCTCTAGAAAAGAGATGTCGGGGTATGTTGGATCAATTGGTATTCCCACCTGTGTAGTTGAGAAGGGACCCCACTGTCACTGTCTTGTTCCTGTTCCTGCTTTTGTTCTCTCACCTCTTGGTCGTTGCACATTTTCTTGGTGCTGTGGGGGTCACTGTGCCTGGTTTCCCTTTACTCTGTTTGCTTTTCAGTTCTTCCAGGAAGGCTTCCCTGACCCTGTCAGTTCTAAGCATTGGTTCCCAGCACTGACCATACAGTATTGAGTTTTCTCCCACTTGCTCAGGAGCCCCTAGGGAAGTGCCTGGGCCTGGCTTGTCCCTGGGGTTTCAGAATACATCACTGTTCTACATAGGGGAGTTTGGGTGGGGCATATGGTGGAATGGAGGGAAGCATACTTCTTGGCCTGGCCTGCCTCCCATGGCCCTTCCCACTCCACAGTTTGAGATGCTGAATGCAGAGTTGGAGGAAAACCAGGAATTGGCCAATAGCCGCATGGCAGAGCTGGAGAAGCTACAGGCTGAACTTCAAGGCGCTGTGCGGACCAATGAGCGCCTCAAGGTAAGCTTGCGTGGAGCTGGGGGGGCCCGGGCCCACGAAATGGAGCTGAGCTCTGAATGCTTTTGCTGATCACCTTTGGCATCTCTGCCCCAGGTGGCCCTGCGGAGCCTTCCTGAGGAGGTTGTACGGGAGACAGGGGAGTACCGAATGCTGCAGGCCCAGTTCTCACTGCTCTACAATGAGTCTCTGCAAGTGAAGACCCAGCTGGACGAGGCCCGGGGGCTGCTGTTAGCCACTAAGAATTCCCACCTGAGACACATTGAACACATGGAGGTATGGCCTTGGAACAGGGGTGGGGGCCAGAGGTAAGGGCCAGACCCTTAGGGTCCAGTTGTTCCTGGGCCAAGGGTATTGGAGGCCCTCTGTGCCTGCCTTAGGAATAAAGTCTTCCTAAGCCACTGAGGCCTAAAGTTGGGGGAGCCTGCTGCAGCTAAGGGGTTTGTGGGTCCTTATTGCCTCATCCCACAGAGCGACGAACTGGGGCTGCAGAAGAAGCTGCGCACAGAGGTTATCCAGCTGGAGGACACGCTGGCCCAGGTACGCAAGGAGTACGAGATGCTGCGCATCGAGTTTGAACAGAACCTGGCGGCCAACGAGCAGGCGGGTATGTGGTGAGGACAGGGTTGAGGTGGGGCCTTATCTG